TGTTTACTAATGGTCCACCCAGCACCTGGACTGTCCTAACTGCCCTTGGGTGGCCCCTGCCAAAACACCCCTTGCCTCTGCACACTCCCTGGAGGCCTGTTGCCTCTATTTTTAAATCACTCGACTTTGTTCCTATCCTCCCTCCTGGTCCTGTTTCTTTCCTTTTATTCCTTTGCTATTATTGCTCTCTATGGAGTGTTTACTGCAAAATAAATTTGGGTGTAGTCTCTTACATTCCCTGCAGGAAAAGGGTTATGTAGGAAAGTAACAAAGCCTGAGAATAAATGGTTGTGCACTATCCATCTCCTAGAGTAAAGCTATCTTTAGACTACTACCCAGAATTGAAAAAATATAAACAATGAAAACTATTTAGAGTACTGGGAGGTGTTTATCTTTGGGGTTTCAACATAAATGAGTGATGTGTACCTTTAAACCTTCATAAACCTCACTGTTCTTACAATATATTTATGACGGTCACTTTGGCTTTAAAAAAACTTATTGAGCAATCATATTGATTCTATTTTTGTTTTTAGAGCTCAAGAGAAACAAACATGATACCACAAAGTAAATGAGAAAATATGTTTATATTCTAGAGGTTGAATGTAGATTTTCTAGTAACAGTGGTTCAGCAGCATGGGCTATTCTCTGATAGAATCACTGAGTCCATTTACTATCTGTCCCTGGCCCAATTCCTTATGCTCTCCAAGCTAAGTTCCTCATCGATGGTCAGCCCAGCTTTGGGATCCCAAGGGGCTCTGAGAAATCTATCGAGTTGCCTGCAGAACCTGTGCTGTCAGCCCTACATCCCCTAAGAGCAAATGTGCCCGTCACTCCTGTGCTCTCGGGAAATCAAGGGCTGTTGTTCATTTCTTTAGTATCTGCTCTGTCCTCATGGCTGCTGAACTTCCCTTTCTAGTTTCAATTTTAAAATTAAGATGTTTTAAAATAAGGAATGCACGCACGAGGCAGGAAATGCAGATGATACAAGAGTTAAAGTCTCATATCCTGTAAGTCTCCTTCCCACCCGTCCCCTCTTGAGAGGCACTGTGATAACCAGGTTCCAAAGATGCCCCAAAGTGTGTGTGCGCGTACGGTTTAAAATAGCACTTAACATATGTCTATGTTATGTAACTGCTTCTCTCTTAACTGTCACCGGCAGAGGGCTGCCCACACCGTGCGCCTTGCTTGCCTCCCTTATGCTGATGATGGACTTCTCCACTGAGGCACTTTTAGACCTGCCCCCGTCCTCTCTAGAGCTGCTTTTAGAGCACTTACCAAACTAGTTGCCTATTGGTGGATATTTAGATGGCTCTAATCACTTGCTATTACCACAGGGAACACCATTTGTAACATGGACAAGTGCAGAATTCCAAGTGGAACTGCTGGGTTGAAGAGCGTGTGATTTTAAAATTTTGTAGTTAATACCCAACTGCCCTCCATAAACTTTGCATCAGTGAACACCCCTCTACTGTACAAGAATGCCTTTTCCTACAGCCTTGCCAACAGATCCTGATGGGTGCCAAACAACAAAAAAAGGGTTCTCGGCGCAGTTTAAACATGCATTTCACTCATTGTGCCTGAAGTCCAGCATCTCTTCATGTTTCCAGTGCCTCAGTCATTTGCCATCCTTCCTGGGGACTGTCCACAGCCCTGCTCATTGTTTCACGAGGTCTTCCTCTCACGAGCTCTTTAGGGAAGGAACCCTTTGTGACAGGGGTTGCAAGTATTTCTCCGTTAGCCCTTGTATTTTTCTGTTTTAAAAAAATTTGCCAAGAATAAATGACGCATAATTATGTAACTGAATTGATAAATCTTGTCTTTTATGACTTTGGGTTTACAAAGCAGGCCTTCTCTCCTTCAAGATTATAAATATAACTGAATGTGTTTTTATCTGCTTTTGTGGTTTTATTTGTTACATTAGAATTTATTTTCATATAGGACTGAGATCCAATTGTACTTTTTTCCAGAGGGCTACTCAGCTGTCCCAACATCACTTATTGAACCATCTCTCCCATAAAGATACGGCAAGTCACCTTATATTCCAAATTTCTATTTTAAAGCCTGTCTTATCAACCTAGAGTGGTCCTTTCTGTGCCTTTCAGAATTTCTGACTTGGAGTCCATTTCCCCACCCATCTTTATTAAGCACGCTGTCTTTTGCCTTAAATACTCTTTAGAATCCAAGCTTCAGGCCATACAGGGAGCACACTCTCCCAATGAAACTGGCCCACAGTAACATCACTTAGGAGCCAATCCTGTCCTCCCACACCCCTCCTGGAGGAAGTGGGAAGAAATGATCAGAGGGCTGGGTCCTTTAGCATCCAGCAATCAGCAGTCCTGGCCACGCAGGTTCCTAAAAAACTTCAGAGTGCAAGCCCTCAGGCTTCCATTTGCTCACTGGAAAGGGGAGGGGGGTAATTTCATCAGTGTTGCTAAATAATATGAAAAAACAACACTGATGATGCTGTTGGCCACCAGACACAGCTCCTGGCAAAGGCTCCCAGGGTAGTCAGGGTAGCCCAGGCCAGAATCTCTCAACACTGTGTACTGTTCCTATCCGTAACCTCCCTTAGTAGTCCCCTGCTCCCAGAGGCTCTGGGATGAGTCCTGGGGAGGCACAAGTGTCAGTTCCCAGGGAACGCAGCAAGGGTAGCTCAGCTTAACTCACTGTGCAAAATTCTAGGGCTGACAAGTCCCGATTTGCACTCCAGCCCTGATCTCTGAGACCACACCTTCTGCCCACTGGTCATTAAACCTGTGCACCTCCCAGGCATGTGAGAATGGGTCCAGTACTAAATTTCCTTCCAAAAACCCTGCTGCTCATTCTGTTTCCCCGTTTTGTTTAAATACCATCAAGTACCCAAGCCAGAAACATATGTCAGTTATAACTGTGTTCTTATGTTTCTGTGGTTTTATTTTTCACATTAGAATTTATTTTCATGTATGGCTGAGATCCAATTGTACTGGGAGACATGCCCAACAAGAGGTTTTGACAAACCACTGCTACTGCTGTGTGTTACTCTTCCCCCTGTTGGCCCTCAGGCCCTCAGCCTACTTTGGGAGGCACCTGTGGGCCTAGAGAGGTCAGCACTGGTTAAAGAAAAATGCAAAGGGAACAGCTTCTGGCCTGAGAAGCCAAGCTACTGCTCAGAGAGATTTTTCCAAGCGTTTTTAAGGCTATTTAGTGACACCACGAGAGCTATGATGTCACCAGGCATAGGTTAGTGGCATCATTGCTCCATTATAATGTATGGAACCATCGTCCTATATGTATATACACGTTCCCACCCAGACATCACGTGGCGCCTAGCTGTACAGGGCAGATTTCCTTCAAGGGAGGTAATAGGCCTTTGTGGGACTGAACTGGTCCCAACCCAGTCGCACCACCTGTCCGGGGCCACCTACCCATTTCGCTTTCCCCTCTGTATGTGCCCCATCCCACCTGCCTGTCCCCATACCCCAT